CCCCCCCGCCCCCCCCCGGGGGCGCCCCCGGAGCCCGGCGCAGCTCCGGCCGCCGCCGGCACCCCGAGGTGTCAACACCCGCCGGGTGCCGGCGCAGGTGGACCCAGAACCTCGAGATGCTCGGGCGTGGCGGAGGGTGCGGGGGAAGCCGCACGGGTGTTTTCTCCCCCGGCTTTTCATTTTTCCACCGAAAAAAGGCCAGTCGAGCTCCTATTTAATTGACGACCCATGAGGGTACTTCGGTGCCAACGACTGAGGCTCTTCTGCTGCGTGGAGGCAGCATCTGCTGCCTGCATTGCCTTAGGAAGGAGCGGTGCACACTCAATTTCTTTTAAACTTTGATGAGTACATGCAGCAAAAATTGTGCTTCTCTGCTTTTGGCTGACTTGTATTGCACAAAATGGGATCTGCTCGTTTACATTAATATGCATATACTTAAACTCCCCATTTTTGCTCTTTTAATGAACGCTGGATCAGTAACGCATAGTGATATGTATAGAGTGGAGGATGAGAGATGGTAATAGCTTGGACAAAAAACAGCTATGGTATTAATGTAATGTGACAGTTGTTTTCCTGCTCAGTTGTTGAAACATCCACATTGATAATTTGTTCCAGCGGTGGAACCTAGAAAATCCACGTATCTTCAGAAATATTTTTTTTTTTTTAGTTAAAAATAGAAAGACTGGAGAGGCATCCCTTGAGTGGGTTTGGCCTGGTATGTGAAGGCAGAGATTGTCAACGTGCGTCCCAGAGGAACTGCATTATAACGCAGAGTCCAGCGTCCTTCAGGAGCTCAGCTTATAAACTGCCCAATGTCTGCCTGTATAAGACACAACGGGGGGAAAAAAGAATTGAAGTTTGGGACAGAAGAGAAGGGTGGGATGTAAAGGTCAAGAGGGGAACACTCAGTAAACTGGATCAACTGCTTAAACACAGGTCCAGTTTATTAGATGCCATACAAGGGCTGACAGCCATCACATGGTTATATACATCTTAAACGAGGTGGAAGGAAAGAGCTTGTAAATGCAACCCAACCTGCAATTTGGGGGCTTGGG